TATTTCATTTTGTTCAATTGTCCCTTTAATCATGAGATAATGTCCATCTTTATCTATTATGCTGGCTTTTGCCTTAAAGTTTATTTTATCCAGGATTAGCACTGCCACTCCTGTTCGCTTTTTACTGCAATTAGCATGGTATATTTTTTCCCATCCTTTCACTTTTAATCTGTTTCTGTCTCTGTGTGTGAGATGCGTCACTTGCAGACAGCATATTGAAGGATCTTGTTTTCTTATCCATTCTGCCACCCTCCGTCTCTTAACATGTGCATTTAATCCATTTACGTTCAGTGTAATTATCGATAAGTATTGATTATTTGTTGTCATTATATTTGTTTTTTCTGGTATTGCTGCTTCTTTGTTCTGTTTGTCTTCCTCTGTTGAATTCATGATTTTTGTGCTCATTCTTGTGCGTTTCCTCATAGTTTTAATGTTTTCAAATTCTTCTTGGATTCTCATTCTCTTGGTATGTTGTGATGTGTTAATTTTCTTTGAGGTTGTCTTATGGTCCATTGACTTCTTTGTCCATTTATTGCAGTCTATTTTATCCTGTAATCTACCTGATTGTCTGGGTCTCTGTTCCTACATGTTCACCTTCTTTTGCATTGTACTTGTTTTGGTCATAGGCTGCCGTCCCAGAGTCTCTGAGTTTGCTCTTATGGTTTTGTTTTGTTAACATTTCTTTCTGTTGACTTAATTCAGGGAGGTGCTGCCATGTACGTCAATCTCTGGTTGTTGTCTGTTCTTGTTGGTTCTCGGTCCACAGAACTCCCTTTAGGATGTTTCGTAGTGCAGGGTTGGCTTTGGTGAAGTCCCATAGCTTCTGTTTATCCTGGAATGTTTTGATTACACCCTCATATTTGATTGATAAGCTTTTCTGGATAAAGGATTCTTGGTTGGCAATTGTTTTCTTGCAGGGTTTTATATATGTCTCCCCATTGCCTTCTTGCTTGCATGTTTCCTGTTGTGTGGTCTGAGCTTAGTCTGACTTGTATGCCTTTGTATGTGACCCTTCTGTTTTCTCTTGCTGCTTTCAGGAGCGTCTCCTTGTCTTTGAGTTTGGAGAGCTTGACTATGATATGTCTTGGTGATTTTCTTTTGGGTTCCACCCTTCCGGGCTTCTTTTGGGCTTCTTGTATGTTTATTTTTTCACTTTTGAGGATGTTAGAGAAATTTTCTTCCAGTATTTCTTCGACTAATTCCTCTGTGGACTTGTGTGACTCATTTTGTTCTGGAATGCCAATAATTCTTAGATTCTCTTCATGTTGTCCAACATGAATCTTAGACCTTCCTCCAAAATTTTTGCCCTTTTTTGTGTTTGTTCTTCTATCTTAGTGGTATTGAGAGACTTGTCTTCCAGCTCACTGATTCTTCCTTCCATCTCATCTATTCTACTCCCCTGCCCTTTCAAAGAGTTTTCTATTTCTGACATTTTGTTGATGATTATTTGAGCCTCTTTCTGTAGGTTTTGGATTGTTACCACTGCTGTATCTATCGTGTTTGAGTGTTCCTGTAGCGCTTTTCTGCCTTCTTCCTTATTTTTCTCAACTCCATTGTGAAGTGTTTTGAAACATTTTATAATCATTTTTCTGAATTCTTTTTCAGGTATTTCCAAGGCCTGCCCTCCTTCCAGCATGGAGAGAAGGTCTACTTCTGGTTCA